ACAAACATAGGTGGACTACCATGAGGTAGAGTCAGAGAGACAGGAAGTGGACCAAAGTCCAGAGAGAGAGTAAGTGTCATATCCCATATGCCAGACATAGATCCCATCATATTCCCACGCTTTCCAGACCTGTTTCTGGACCCCATATCCAACTCATTCCTGGATCCCCTATCCTGTCCACCCTATGTACATTCCATCCAGCAAGACATCTGGACTTTACCTCCTCTCGGATTCCGGACTACATCCACCACCTCACATATCTCAGTCCTGTTTCTGCCCTGCCTTCCAGATCCCCAGATCTCTGGACCTCTGGATATTAACTGTTACTATCTCCAGACCTATTCCCACCCTCTGTCCAAGATCCTGCGCCTATCCCCATTTAGGCATCTCCCCCTTTCCAGTTCTCAGTTATCTCTGTTTCTGTCTTGCTGATTGATCCTTGTACTAGTTTCATCTCCGAGTTCATTTACTTATGTTCCATCTTACTTACCAATGTGTTTCCACATGCTCATACATAGCCTTACTCCTTTGCTTACTGATCCTCTCAGATAGCCTCTAGTATATAACCCCTGTACAACTCTAGTAGAGTCCTCAGTCTGAATATCACCTTAGACTTGCCCAATCTTCTTCCAGACTTCAGTCCGTCTGAGTCTTGTCCTTTTCCATAAGGCCTAGGGAAGGATTCCCTAGGCCGGAATTCTGGACCCTTGGATTTGTCCCCTATGTCTCTGTCCCAAGTCTAGGGATTGCTTCCCTAGGCTGGAGTCTTGCCTTTCCAGCACTTACCTTCTTTCCGGACTTAGGTCCACTTCCTGTCCCTCCGACTCTACCTTAGGGTAGTCTACCTCTGTTTGCTTCTGCATCGGACTTCATCCGATGTAGCCCCTATTCCTTCTGGACCTCCGGACCTCCTGTCTTCTGTACCTCCGGACATCCTGTCCCTCGTACCTCCGGGCATCCTGTCCTTCGGACGTTCCATCCTCCATACCTCCAGACCTCCTGTCCTCCATACTCCGGACCTCCAGACATCCTGTCCTCCTGTCCTCCGGACCTCCTATCCTTCCATCCTGTTTTCCTGTAGAAGTATTACCTTGCAGCGGGAACTCTCCCGCGCTCCTTCGGACATTTCCCACGCTCCTCCAGAAGTCCTCCTGAAGTCCTCCCGTACTCTCCACCAGAGTAGCCAGCCTCTGGAAGTCCTCTGGACTTCATTGGACCATCATCAGACTTCCTCTGAAATGAAGGGCACATACTCAGGTAAGGGGCACAGCATACAAGCTGAGGCCAAGCCCCTCTGAGTCAGTCTCTCTCTCCTTTGAGCATGGTTCTTAACAGTAAGTACTGGAAAGGCAAGGACAAGACTCAGATGGACTGAAGTCCAGAAGATGTGAGAGCAATTCTAAGGATTTCATAGCCCATGAGGCAGCTAGCTGTGAGGATGTATATTTATATGAACATGAAGATGGCCCAGGTGCTGATCTGAAAAACCTCATGTTTGATACCAAGAATGGGTCCAAAACCCCCTGGAATAGTAAAATTATCAATCTGCTACTTGGAGAATTATGAAGAAGGGGCGATGAAGAGAAAGTGGCCACTTGCTAGGTCAGAGACATATTTCAGAGCAATTCTTTGAGATCACTACAAGTGACTGCATACAGTCAAGATATGTACCCAGCCTAAGGTCACAGCAAAGGGTGTGCTGGAGGAGACTCCTGCAGAGGTAGAGGTGAGATTAACTGTGAGGAAGGATGAGAATTTGAATGTGACTCATCAAACAACACATTGCAGAAATGTATGCTCACAATATCCAGACAGTTCTAGCACTGCTCCCTCCTCAGAAATATCTCTGTAGAGCAACAGTTCTCAACCATCTCATTAAGCAGAAGACTGATGATAAAGAAGAGGATCTCCCAGCATGGCAGTGGCTTCCGCAACTAGTGAGCATGCTAGGAGAATGTGGTATGAGTTCAGAAGAGAGTAATTTGGAAAATGATATTGAAACAGTCCTTTGCATCAAGAACATGGTATGGCACCATGTGGTAGAATAAGAATTGGATATTGTTGATCACCAGAGACTTGTGGATAAGAATATATTTGCCCCCCCAAAGGCTCAAAGCCAATGAAAAGGACAATGACATTGAAGGAAATGACTCAAATATCTGTGATCCAGACTCTCTTGTTTCCCAGATGAGTATTTCCAATCAAGAGGCTTGTTTTAACAAGCTAAAGGACTCTCTGTTGCATAAGACTATGGAACTGTTAAGGTCATACTCAAAGGGTAACTGGATCCGAAGGGCTTCAGCCTCAGCTTGTGCGCTGTGCCTCTTACCCGAGTATTGCCCCTTATTTCAGAAAGGCAAGACTAACACGTCTGGAAGGTCGGACAAGTAGCGTAACAGATCCGGATGACTTCCGGATGAGGGATAAGTATTGTAGGGCTAATCCGGACAAGTCCAGACTAGAAACTAACAGTAATGGACTGTCAGAGACAGAGGTGGATATGGATAGACTATAGGAATCAATCCTAAGTCTCAGAGGGTGACGAGAGTAGAGGTACTCAAGTCCAGAGGACAGGAATGAGTAGAACTAAGATGATATTTGAACTGAGGTACTACAGAAAGTTACAGGAGGTTATATACTATAGGTATCTAACGGAATGATCAATCAGCAGAGTCCGAGGCTATGTACAAAGCATGTGGATAGTCTATTGGTAAGTAGAAACGGATCACAAATCATGAAACAGAAATGAAACATAGGTAGCGGATAAGGGAGCAGGACAGATATACAGATAACCGAAATACCGGAGTTAGGGGGTTACTGAAAGGGGATGAGTGCTGGTTGTGGATTTGGATGAGTTGTGGACCGGACCAGATGAGTGGACAGATTGAATGACGAGATGTTGGAGGGAGATAAGATGTGGATAGGATTGGAGATAAGATGTGGATCTGAGATGAGATAAGGGTCGGATCTGAGATCCGGATATGTGGATGTGACAGGAACCATTGAAGTTCATCTGCAATACCCTGGGTTGTGTGCCAAGGAAAGCTGGTAGAACATTTGAGATAGATTACATATGTCAAGGTCCTCCTCAACTGGGTAAGTTCTTCACCATCATGTTTACTGTCCTGAGTTTCCCAATACTTATATACAGCATTGTGGAAAGCCTTTAGCTGCTCCACAAGACAAACCTCAGTTTGGGACAGCAAAAGTACTTGAACATATTTGCAACATCATTCAAGATACATCTGTCCTCACTTGGCTTGGTTCATCCCCAGTAACTTTGGAGAGGTGTCTGCTGGGATGCTTAAAGCTGATGAGTGGCAATTGCTTATGATGGTCTACCGTCCCATTGCCCTTGTGAGCTTGTGGGGAGCTGGTATCTCACATTCTTCAGATGAACTCACTGTCCACCTCAAAGTTATTCTTGATCACACTATAGAACTTGTCAGTGCAGTGTATCTTGCATGTGCATGAACAGTAGCATTAGTGACATAGGACATGTAAGACATACTGGGCATATACCAATGAGAACTAGTTGCACATGACTTCAAACATGAATCCAATGTGAACAAGTACAACAACAAATGCAAGCAAGCACACAAACAACAAATCAAGTAGACAAAACACTCCCTTTTGCTGAAGACCCTTCTTTGAGGTTAATCAACTCGATTTCAAGGCGAAGGGCTGCTGTCTTCTCGGACTGAACCTTAGCCTGTGCTTCGAGAAGACAAGGCTCCAGTGCCTTCACCTCCTGTGACCTCTCATGCACTGAGGCAGCTTCAGTGTGCTCAATTGTGCCCTGTTCACATTGGAATTGGATGTTGTGCTCTTGGCAGAGTGCATTGACCTTCGCAATTTGATACTCCGAGGCAGCCACCTTTGCAGAGTAAATGTAGCTCATGTCATCAGTGAGAGACTCCACTTGATCAAGCACGTCTAATGTCCCTGATTGAATGCGCCCTGAGAGGCTGTGCTTGTGGGCAGGCTTCAGCTGCCCAAGTCTGCACAGGGGTGGCGAGTCTTTCGAGTCTGATGGTGATGAGAATGTGCATGCAGATGAGCTGGGGACACTGGATGATGCAGATGCCATGGATGCTGGCCTTTTTGAGTGAGGGGGGCCATGGTTCATGGCATGAGCGATGTGAGACTTGCTAGTGAAGGCTGCTTCATAACTATCATACTGTGGGATGCAGTTTGTTGGCTTGAATGTATGGGGCAGAGAGGGGGAGGTTTGGTGTGGGTGTTTCTTGCATAGATGCTGCTGAATGTCATCCTGTTCCCTGTAGTTGTCCTCCTCCATCTCCATCTCCTCAGCACCACCATCCCAACCTCCATGACCCATCATGTGGTCATGATCTTCAAGTGTAGGGTCATGGTCATCATGTGTGGGGTCATAGTTGTCATATGCAGGGTTGTAGTCCTCAATAGCTGCAGCAGGGGTGCCTTTGTTTGGTGAATCATCAAGATCAGGGTTCATATCATCAAGGTTAGAGTTATTGAGTACATGTGTGTCTGAGGCGGTAGTGTGAGGAGTAGGCTGTGACAGTGCTTGGAGGCCATCAGCATGATCTTTGCCAGGAGCAGAGGAAAAAGCCTTTGGAGAAAATGCAGGGTTGTCTTTCCACAGTGCATCAAGGTCTTCGAACCACAAGGGTCACGAGGGTTGATGCCAGCGCCATGCTTACTATGTGAGCTGATTAGCAACAGCATGGCCAAACTTTGGCTGGTTTCCTGCTACACAGCGCACGAGCTGAGGCTGAAGCCCTTCGGATCCAGTTATCCCTTGAGTATGGTCATGGCTATCTGCCCATGCAGCAAACTCTTGCTCAATGGCAAGCCAGCCCTTGTAAACAGTTGAAAGCAAGAGCCATTGATCAACTGTGAACAATCCTCCTGAGGGCATGCCTATGTCCTTAGGGAGCTTTCTGCATGCACTTGGTAGGGTGAACTATGTTACATGTCAGTCTAATGAAACAAGAAGAAAGTATACTTACATTAGCAAGCATGTTGTGAAAAGTAGTGAGCTCATGGTTTGGATGGAGTACTTTCCCTTGCACCCAAATATTGTAGAAATGCATTTTGATGAGACCTATTGTCTAATGAGCAATTACATAAAACATGAAATAGAATGTACCAAGAAATAGATTATGCATTGGGTCGATTACAACCTGGTTGACTAAATTGAAGTATGGGAGCCTGGAAAGCTGGGTATAGCATGTTGCATAGTCTTTGACAAAGTTCTTGCATGTGGTAGGTGTGGTGAGTTGTTGGTATTTTTCTCCTAACTTGCACTGTTGTAAATTTGTTTGTTCCTTGAATGTTGGGAATCATAGTTGGCATGGGCGTCAGAAGTAATAGCTTTAATACCCACCATCTGTCACAAATGTGGCCACTCTTGCTTTATCTGCTTGTGTGATCCAGCAGGCTGTGCATAAGTTAGTGTGTGAATGCGATGCAAAGCCACCAATCTTGTGAGCAGCTGGTTTACCACAAACTACAGCACCAAGAATTAAGTGAACAAGTTGACCTTCATTCAAATTATCAGTTGATCTGCTGACATGGTTCATATCTCATATCTTACTCACCTTCTGTACAAGATTTTGTTGGTACCTTGATGCTGTGCTTCCAGAGTCATAAGAGATCTGAGACAATTGGATGAAGAAAGCATTGGATTTGATCAGGATTCTGCTCCTTCAGACCTGATATGATGCTCATACACAACAAATTAGATATGCAATAGCTATGTTATATAACACAAGTTAGTTCAAGTGAATAAGCATGTAGTGCCACTCACTGATACTTGGGGGGAAGATTACAAATAGAAAATAATGTCAGACACAACAAGTGGGATGGTACAATATTACTGCATATATATGAGAACCTAAAGAGTACTAGTGTCTGAGCACACCACACAACCATAAATGTGCTAGTATAGACCAGTCAACTCCAAGGTTGACACCTATGTGAAGCTCTTTGTCAGGTCCTTGGCATTCATTTGGACCATTTGAAAAGAAAAGACTTCCATCAGATGCTTTGAGTTTCAGGTGACACATATCACCATCAAATATATCTGTGTATTGACCAGATACTCATGGCTTTGAATGCTAGCCATCAAGTGTAGCTTCAACACCTGGAATCGTTAAGATAGACTGGATTTGAACTGAAAGAGGGAGATACGGATACTTAACATAAGGAATTTTCTTCATACAAGTAAATCCATGCCTCATAGTATCAGGTAAAAACAGAGGGATGTTGCAAGTCATGCAAGTGTCTTGATTATGAGTAGAACCTGCAGGCAGGTATACTTCTCAGCACATGGGACAACAAGGAAGGGTGTAAAATGGAGTATCGAGCACTAGCATGCATGTAGCTGACTGCAGCGTGTGGAATGGAGTATCGAGCTGAGGAAACAAGAACAGTAGCAAACAGGATAAGATAGAGAGAAGCACACTGCATGCAGTGTGAGGAAGATGCCATTGCAGATGTAGCCATGTAGTGAGTGTGTATATGGTGAGGAGGTGGGGCAGAAGGGTAGACACGGCACAGCTACCATTAGACATGAACAAATCTTCATTATCCAGGCCAGGTGGAATCACATCTGCAGGAGTGCCATCATCCATCATATCTTCATTGAAGTCCATATCTGGATCACCCATGTTGAAGTCCATGTCTTCTTCACCAGGGTCCATTTGTTGAATATCTTCCAGCACCTTCTCTAATTCTCGCTCCATGGTGTGCTACTCCAGATCCTTAGGTAGTGAATGCACTCTATATGCATTCAGGGGTTGGGTGCCTGCTGCAGTAACATCACTATATGCATCATAGTAGTCCAGTGCATCAAGAAGTGCCTCTGGAGTGTGAAAATTTGGGCCAAGGTTGGGGAAAGCACGACCATGGATTTGAATAGCTATATCCTCTGCTGTGAGCATGCCACAATCAAGCATCTCCTGTTCAACAGGGCAAGGAGAAACAGGGGGAGGGGGGGTCTGGGAAATCAAAGACTGGTGGAAGCAGAGTGTCTTTGACTTGAATGTCGGTTTCAGACGGCTTAAGATTGGAGGTCTTAAGCAAGAGAAGTTCTGGTGAAAACCTAGTAAGATTAAAGTAAAGATCTACTAAGTACATGACTGGTCTTATATAGGATGTAAGTACTTTAGGGCTGGTACTTGGAGATGAGTCAGAGATAAGAGATGAGTCATCTAATGATGGCTGCGAAGAGCGATCGCGATGTGATACAAATATAGAAAAGAGTTCAAGAAAAGAGTCTAATGATGGCGCAGCATAGTGCGGTCACGACGTAATACAACTGTAAGTGGAAAATGAATAGGGGCAAGTGCGACTGTAACACACAGCGATGTGATTCATGTGAATGGTGATAGCTTCTGCTAGAAGCTCAGCAGTGTTTGATGGTTCATTGACGTCTTTATCAGAGAGTGAATGTAGGGATGAATGATTGGATGAAAGTGAGGCATACATACTAAGACAAAATCTCCAGTCATCATCTGGCTGTTCTGGCTGTGTACACAGTGTACTAACACCTGAACACTGAGGAAATTGGTAGGTACAGGACATTTTGAGGTTGCATATGATGTCTGTTTGAACACTGGAGTCATAACAATGTAAGTACCAACTGGCAAGGTCCTATTCAAGCAGGGAAGCATGCATACAGTCTGATGGACATACCTTAATGGCCACTGCATGAAATTGTTCCCAATTCCTCATGGAAGTCATCCCATAGCCCCACTCCTGCAGAGACAAATGTTGTTAGGAAGTTCTGAAAGTCAGACTTATTGCGATACTCACAGAGATGCAGTGAGTGTGAGAATGATTGAACAAATGAATGAATGAGCCATTTTCATGCTGTCCCCAGATAGTGCTCACCTCATCCACAGTCATGGTTGTTTGCAATATACAATAGTGTGATCAGCACTGGAGCAAATTGACACAAGGAAGGCTCAATAAAGCCTCAGCTGATGTTCAAGTGAGTATGTAAGCAACTGCTTAAAGTCTCCTATGAAATGTCAAACAGTTAACCATTTGCTTCCATCACTTGCTGGCAGTAACAATATCAGTGTGGCTGTGTGCTGCACTTTGCATCATTGTCAGAGGCCATAAAGTGGTGAGTCTCGCCTTTAAGTTGGCTTTCCAGCTCTTGTGCTCCACCAATTCAATCAACATGAAGTAACACTTTGTTCTAAGTACTATGTCCCACCTGAACACCTGATATCAGTGTGTCACAGAATCACTTGCTGATGAGCCTCACTGGAATGTCAGTGGAGGTCAGTACTTTCAAGACAGGGTTGTTTGTTCACTTCAACATAAGAGTACTTCAGGAGTGCACAAAATTTCAAGACTGGGGTAACATGCTCTACCAGAACCGAAAGTTCCAGCAGACAGTAGACATGTATATGCATGTAATCCAGGTGGTAACAAAATCAGAGCCCATATACTATAGAAACTGTGCAGCATGTGCATCCCTCCCCTCAATATCATCATGATGCTTTGGGACCTTGCCAGATGAGTGAACCATATCAAAGAGCATCAAAGTACGTATCAACTCCAAGGGCCATCAACGACAACAGCTCCTCCCATGCATGGATATGCAGTTCTACCACATCTACAACAGATGCTATTCCATTGTGTAATTTATCTGTGAGAGGTCCATCAACATCACGGGCTTCAGTACACAAGTCAATTGCCTGCTGGAGCAAACCCTTCGCCTCTGTGAGCCCTGCCTCACATTCCAGTCTGACTGAATCCCAGCCCTCTCAATTGACATTGGTCATGATTGACATCCCATACGATTCCCAGAAATCATGTTAGAGAGTGCTACTGTGATAACCTAGATGAAACCATACATCATCAAGGTGCTGAAGAAGATCTTGAGTATCCTAAGTGAAGACATTGGTAACATATGCCTGAATTTAAAATGAGTGCTCACCACAGCAGCCCCTCTATGATGTCGCCATTGTGTGTGGGACTTCACTTGTTCTTGAGGTCAGTGACTAGAAGTGAGTCAGTGCTAAAGTGATGAGGACAAGAACTAAACAAAATTACTGTGCATAGCTCTCCTTTTTGGTTTTCAGTTGAGCACATCGACGCTCCTCTGCAGTTTCATACTTAGGACACATATTGTGTAGTAAGTCACAGTTGTTGCAGAGAAGAAGGGAGCTTTGTTGTAGATTGGACACTGGATGTTGAACATTGACAGTTTGTGCTAATGAGATTTGCTTAAAAATATTGTTATTACTGACATGAAATTCAGTCACACTTCGGGACACAAGCTTAAGCCAAGTATTCTACATGTATGGTACTCCTTCAGTTGTCTTCAGAAATGCTTAGTATTCATCTACCATAGTCATCTACCATAGTAGATTGGTAGCTTGGAGAGAGAGATAATGTCAGAGCATTACTTATATTGCATCGTTTATGTTTGTAAGATCAGTATCAGTGAGATCAGATCACAGCACTGAAGAACGAATACCAATAGAGCAATTATCATACTGGATCGATGGCATTTTCATAGATCAAAGGTACATTGTATGTAAGTAACTCAAGGTCCCAAATCAATTCCATCTACAAGGTCTGATAAGTCTTCCACCTGAGCCCACAAAGCATCACTCAAGTGGGACAAGGAAGTGGGTGTGGAAGGAGGTGTCTGTGTAGATTCTAGACTGACTGATACTGAAACAACTGAGTTAGACTCTGTTGATGATGAAGGGGTTAGTGAGGGGGGCCCTTCAACTTGGGTGTTTAAGATGGGGAGATCAGACTATGTCAAACAAAGATCAGTACCTTTGTTCCCTGATAATCAATAAAAATACTTACTGGCCCAGTAATTGTCTAAGTTCTCTCAGTGTCCGTGGTGCGTGTTTTCTCCCCAACTGTCTCAGTCTCTGTACCCTCACCTGTGATTTTTGTCCAAGTTGTTGTTCGCTGGGAATGTGTCTGTGTTGTTCGGTTGGTCCAAGTGTGAGTCACCAGCAGGTCTGGATGCTGTAGACCTAGAAAAGTTGATGATGTGAAAAATAGGATGGGTAGTGGTGTACTATACCTTGCAATCAAGAAGACTGGGAGCTCATGATGGTACTACTCTTCATCCATAAAAGAAATTGTTGACTCTGCAGAGTCATGTGCATACAAATCTCTTGAGTCTTTGTACCAACATCAATTCTATAATACTATGGCACCTGTGCACCTCAACAAACGTTCCAAAAATTGCACAGGACTCACCTCACTAAAAATTCACCATGTCATATCCCACCGAGACCCCATCAATCTTCATCCTCAACAGGAGCTGCTAGGTTCCAGAAAAAGTTCTGAGTGAGCAGCAGGCGTAAACATGTGCAAGAAAACTCACATGGAAGGTACCTAAATCCTTTACTTTGTTAGTGCCATGAGGATAAAATGTGACTTACATAGCAATGAGCATGGAGGAAAAATGCGCCCTTGAAGTGTTACAACAACCTCATGATGACTTCAGTGATTGGGCATTTGATGGTGATGATGGTTTTGGCATGAGCATATT